TCGATGAACCAAACGTACATGCCCGGCAGGGACACCTCGATCGAGCTTCACTGTCAAAGTACCCCGCATGGCAGAACACCCAGCTCGTGATGGGCAGTTCACGCCACGGGCGTAGGACCCCAATCGCGGTCATACGCCCGACACGCGGATTCCACTCCGCGCATTCGACGCATTTTGAAATGCGTCGAACCGACATAGGGGTCGAACGGATATCTCCACTAGAATACAAACTTCGCCAAGAATTCATTATCGAAATCACAGTCGAGCATATACCTAAAATACTATCAGATAATTGCAAACAAAGCATCCGTCGAACAGGAAATCACAAACAAGGATTAATAATATACCGACCACGAGGGCCGGCGATATCCGAAATTACAGTCCAGGCACGACGGTCAAAAAACAAAGAATAATAGCGGGCACGCAGGCCCCAAAAGCAAATACGGGCACGCAGGCCCCAAAACAAAAAAAAACAATAAACGAGCGCACAGACCCAAACACCAACAAAGCATCAATCAGTTCCTGGAGTGCCGACGTCAACGTCAGGAGAATCGAGGGGAGGCACAACCCGACCATCGACGATGTGGGACAGAACTCCAGCCCCTTCGGTGCTCAAATCCGAATTTAGCACGGACAGCTGACTCACCGCAGCCTCAAACCCATCGGCCAAAGCGCCAACGCAGTCCGACTCTAGGGGTTAAATGCGAGCAATAAAATCAGAGCGTGTACGCAAGTCGACCATCCTTTCTGGCTCGTCCTCAGCGGGAAGAATAACAGTCTTCAGGTCCTCGACCTCTCTCGACAGCCGTTGGTTGTCGCTCTCCAACCGTTCCTTATCAAGTTGGAGGAAATCTCCTTCCTCGAGAGCCCTGTCGGCCCTTTCCTTCTCCCCCGACAACACGTCGGACTGCTCGCGAAACATTTCCTCAGAGCGTTTGGGGGAAGCCTTCAGTTTGCGGGATTTGGCCACAAGAGTCGCCTTCTCCGACTCCAACTCTCTGACCTGATCCATGAAGTCTGATCCTTCCCCCGCAAGAACAACCGCCATCTCATCCATTTTTACCACCCCGACCATGCTGGCAGCAAGGTGCTTCCTCCGACCTTCCTTGTCAAGCCGCCTAATGATGTCGGCCTCGTTGTCGGATACAGACAAGGGAAACCCCTCGAAGAAATCCTTCTCCACAAAGCAGGGGGCAGGCTAAAGGCCCGGGCACCCGCACCTCTGTCGGTCACTTCGACCCCATCATCTGGTCGACTCCGCTTCTTGCTGATCAGAGCAGATTGGTGCTCGGCGTCCGGGGAACCCGAGGACCCACTAGATCCTTCCCTGCCCAAGTCAAGAGGTGGGCCCATCCACATGGCTTGTTGCGGCCTCACCAATCTCTTGCTGATTTTCTTATCTTGAGTTAGCTTCAGCAACCTCTCGCGACGCTCTGTCATGTGACCTGCAAAGGAAGCGTACTTGGGTTAGCTACATACATTAAAGAAAACAAATAAAGAGCAACGTCAATAGAGCAAAGCAAGAAATCTAAGAGGTCTACGGCTTACCCGTAAGATTAGCACTCGACGAGTGCCTTAGTATTGATCGGACGCGCCTCGAACGTCGGATAGCCATCCTCATCGAGAATGTCGTCCCCTTCCCTCGTAACCCACCGAGCAGGAAAGAAGCCGTCGACAAACTTGCTTAGGACGCCATAAGCTTCCTCATCCTCAACACTCATACCCCCAGCATGAGTGTGGTAGTATCCAGGACCATGGTCATAATGGCCCGAACACCAGTGAATGGGAAACCTAGAGATTCTCCCAATCTCGGGGTTACCCTCAGCATCCAAACACGACTCCCCATCCTCGTCCACCACATCGGCCGGTTTGAACAGCGAATCTATGACGGTCGGGGTAGACGGTTGCAAAATATACCACTTATCCTTAAAATCTCGCACAGAATCCATATACATCCTAAACAGTCTCTTCGACTGCTTAAGGGACACCTAGTTGTGCTTCCCTCCTCGGAACTGCCGCTGTAAGTGAAAAACCTTGAAGAATAGGGGGATCGTCGCCCCAATCCTCAGGAAGCGACAGGTGAGTTCGAATGCCCGGAGAAAGGCAATCGCATTAGGATGAATTTGGGAGGGGGCCATGTTCAGATGGTTGAACACTCCGACCTGGAAGTCATTGAAGGGAAATCGGAGCCCGAGATCTCTAAATATGATCTCGTACATGGGAAATGCATCATGTGTGAACTCCAAACAGATACGGGCATCCCTCGTCGGCCTCATAATCTTGAAGTTCCTTCGAAATCCCTCTTGACTGCCGCCATACTCGACGATAGTGTAAGATTGTCTACTGGAAAGGTTGTAGATCGAAGCTATTCCCCGGGGCTCAGCACCGACCCAATCCAGAGTGGGGTCATCGACGGTGTCGACCAGGGTGATAGTTTCCTCCACTGTGCTTGTTTCCTCGACATCGTTACGCCCCAAGGACTCAGGAATGTCGGCTATTTACCTGCAAAGTACAGGAAACCGGTGAATTCGACAGCAAATCCGCTTGTCCGCCACAAAGACAGGGAGAAGTAAGCAACACTCAGACCGAGTCTACGATCATTCGCACGAAAAATGGGAAACAAGTGGACCTCGACCAAACACCGACCTCAGCAGCGGACGTGTATCAATCATGAACGACGCGAGCATAGCATGAATATCACAAGCGAAGGATGAATCTCGCGGCCAAGTTCATAATGTTGTTGGCCCGGTACAAGAATACTACGGGGAAAACTAGCCTACATACCAACGAAAGGATGAATCTCCCGACCAGGTTCATAAATCTACTAGCCCAAACGCATGATTATCGCGGGCACGATCGTAAACTGTATTCCTAAACTTATAAATATCTCGGGGACAACCATGAATCAGGCGCCTAGCGCGCTTAAATTTATCGGGAACTATCCCCAGACACGAGATTCTACCACTAAAATGCCATCAAATCTATCTACAACACGAGATATCAAAAGGAGAAAACACTTACTTGAGAGAAGAATGAAGAACGACGATGGTGGAGATGATCAGACGGCTAACGGTGCGGGGGTATCAACGACACTAGGAAAATTCACGAGATTGAAAACAGAGAAAATATGAGAAGCGGGAAGAGGTGAAAATAAACTATGGGCCCTGGAACCCTATTTATAGAGATAACGTGGAATATGAAACGTCGTGTCGGGGAACCACAAACCGCTCTCATCCTCGACGTCTACTCGCATAGACAATGATAGCCCTATTCCCTAGGGCGGCATTATGGTTTCCAAGAGCCGCACCACGTGTCTAACTGACGCGTCACCACCTTCCCACAAAAAGTTCCTCGAACACTCCTCGATCGCTGCACGGGGAAAATCACAAACCGGGCGGTGTCTCTTCTCCCCGATTGAAAACCCCTGCGTCGCGCAAGCGAGTCTCGCAAAAGAGCGAACTTGAATCAAGTCATAACTCCCGTACCAGGAGCAACGACTTGGGGGCTCCTGTTCTGGACTGGGCCTGCTCGTGGCCCAATCACCAGTGAGGCCCAATCCAAGCTTTATAACGTACCATGCTGAGCATTAGATCCTCTGAGCACACCCCGATCATGGGTGACTGGTCGGATACGATTGTGTCCGCCGGTGCCCGCGAAGAGCGTCCCCGACGAGGGACGTCCGAGACGAGGAACATCTCAATCGAAGCCCTGCTCGAGTACCCTCCTCATAGGGAATACTTTCAACCTCTCCGGATGTCTCGGAGTCCTCAGGGTCCCAGGAAGATCGCGTATTTACCCTCCCTAGTCTGCGGAGAGCATCATCCAGGTAGGGGACCACGTGCAGGTCCCCACTACTCACGTAGAACCTGGTAGTCCCTTTGTTGGGCCTGTTTGGTCAGTCCAATAAAGGGACCTTGGCCCAGCGTTGGGGGCTATAAATACCCTCTATTTCGAGAGGGTCAGGTATTCATTTCATTCACACCTATATACTTACTTGCCTGCTCATTCCGTCTCTCACTTTGTCATCGGAGTGTCTTGCAGGTACCCCCCCCCCCCCCCATTTCCTTCGAACGTCATTCAAAGTCAGTTGTGACGGTCCAACTCTGATCAGGTACGATCAATACATATTAAGTGTATGTTTGGTTTGTCTTTTAAAATGGTCAAAGGTAATTTTAAATGTGTAGAATTAATTCGGTATGATTTTGAGATGTTTGGTTAGATAAAAATAGAATTGATTTTGTCTCTAGAATTAATTTTACTTGAAGATAGAATTTGTAGTTTCTGTCTCTGAAATTGATTCGGAATGATTTTTACTCTGAAATTAATTGTTCAACTCATTTTTACATAAATGTATTCAAACATAAATCAATTTTAATAAACTCAATTCTATTAAATTCAATTATATTAAAATCAATTTTGTCAATCGCTCGTCGAATACACCCTAAATTAAGAATTTAGTCCGACAATAAGGTGTTTTATATATATATATATATATATATATATATATATATATATATATATATATATATATATATATATATATATATATATATATATATATATATATATATATATATATATATATATATATATATATATATATTCACCAAACAAGAGCTAATAAGGCATAGGCACATAGATATAAAAAGAGAGATGTTTGGTTTCAATAAATAGAGACGAAAGTGGGTCAAAAAAACAAACGTCATGTTCAGGCAAAATCCATGTGCCCACATGGATGATTGAGAGAGACACAAATACAGATTTTCACAAACTCCAACATTTTATTTATCCTTATGTTATTGTTTGATTAAACATCCACAGAAAACCACCATTATTATATTTATGAATTCACCAAAGCAATCATCAAACACAATCTGACCCACCAATGAAAATTTCCTCAAAACAAACACTTGAATCCAAAGTTTGCAACTTTTAGTGTTTCCAACTTGTTCTAGCACCAAAAGAACTAAAGGGTGTTTTTCATTTTTTGAGTTTTGAGAATGAAGAAGAGTGAGAGTGGTGGATATGTGAGAGCAGATCAAATAGATCTCAAGAGTTTAGATGAACAATTGCAAAGGCATCTTAGTAGAGCATGGACTATGGAGAAGAAGAATAAGGAGAAAGAAGATGAAGGTGGTGAAGTTGTTGGAAGGTCTTCTTCTAATAATAGTACTTCAAGAAATAGACAAGAATGGGAGATTGATCCTTCTAAGCTTATCATCAAAACTGTCATTGCTCGTGGCACTTTTGGGACTGTTCATCGTGGTGTTTATGATGGTCTTGATGTTGCTGGTATATTCCCCATTGCACTCTTTCTAATTTTATGAATACTTGTTGTTTCTGTTTTTCTTTGAACACCAATCATGGTTTATAACTAAACAATTTTTTAATAAATGCTAGTAGAGAATGTACTAGTTTTGATTACGTAGTTCGGTCAATTGTGTCTATCTCTGAGTATAGCGTTGCTAGATTACCTTTCTATTATCCAAATTTAAGGTTTATTGATATCAAATTGTGTTTAAATTCTCGCCACTTCGAGCTATGTGATCATTAATCAGTAAACTACGAGTCATATCCAACATTTTGTGTGTGTGTTTTCCATTCATTTCTTATGAGTACTATTTTGTTTAACATCTCATGCATATATGCAAGAGGCAATCTTATCTATAGACAAGTTTTAAGTTGCAGTCACGCTGCAGCGATTCTTGGTATTGCCGAAAATCGTATTCAAATGAGACTATTGCTTCCTTTGTTTTTGCGAGACATGAAAAACTTTGATGTTGTTGTGCAAATAGATTTTTATCTAACTAAATCCTATTCGATATTTTGACGGAAAAAAGCTTGTTTTTATTCAAGGTCTTATTAGCTTTAAATGAATGTATAATAAAGAATTTTGAAGAGTTTGGTTTGAAGTAAAAATGATGTTTTAGTGTTAAGTTTTGCAGTTTTCTCAACTTTGTCAAGTACTTTTATCTATTCTACAATTAAAAAGCTTTTTTTTTGCTTTTTTTCAATGGAAAATAGAGATGGACATGAGTTCTTATTTTGCTGTCTTTTACTTCCATGAGTTCTTTAAAGAACCATGTTAGTTGATAGAGTTTGACAATTTTTTTATCGATTTTGGACCGCAATATTGAAACTTTCTAAATCAAGATTTTAAAAAATCTGTGATTCACAAGATTCAGTACTATCCCTTTGCCTTTTTTTTCTTTCCTAAAACTCACAAGATCCACTTGACTTGACAGTTGTGTCCATGAACTTTATTATTCTTCTCTCCTTTTTTCAACTTTCATGTGTTCTTTGTTTATTACTGATAGACACCTGATTTTTCTACCACAAGGTCTTATAAAGATTGAAAATCAAAAATAAAAATAATAATAATAAAATTGAAAATTATTTTTATGTTAATGACATGTGATTATGTTGCCACATACATTTCTGAGTCATAAAAATATTTATCATTAATACTAATCACCTTTTTAAGTTTTCATGTTTTTCATGATGTTCTAAGTACAACACTATTATCTTAAGCTTCATGGATGCTAACAGTCGTCTTAAGTTTTTGGAGGCTGTGTACAAAACAACTAGGGCCCTTTTATGCTAAACTTGTTAACTCTGCAACTTTCTCTTCGGACGATTCAATACAAAGCAACTTATCTTTTCATTTTGTTTTTTGCAGTTAAGCTTCTTGATTGGGGGGAAGAGGGACATCGGTCAGACGCCGAAATAGCTTCATTGAGAGCGGCTTTTACACAAGAAGTTGCTGTTTGGCACAAGCTTGACCATCCTAATGTAACCAAGGTAATAGCGTACTACGGCTGAAGATATTATGAATAGCGCCGATTTATGTCCTTCATTTGCTACTACGAATGAAACATGTGAAATTGCTTGCATTGGCTTTTTTTCTTAGATTCAAGCATTCATGTATGAGTTTTTTTATCGGGGTCTAATGTGAAATCCTTTTTTTTTGTAGTTTCTTGGTGCAACAATGGGAACATCGGACCTACAGATACAAACGGAAAACGGTCATATAGGCATGCCGAGTAATCTTTGTTGTGTTGTCGTTGAGTATTGTCCTGGTGGTGCTTTGAAGTCGTATCTAATTAAAAACCGAAGAAGGAAGCTGGCTTTTAAAGTGGTTGTTCAACTAGCTCTTGATCTTGCAAGAGGGTTCAATCCATATGCCTAATCTGTGTGATTATAAGTTTTAACATAATAATGGTTTTTCTTTCTATAAGCCTAAGAATTAATTATATTTTCTTACTTTATAGGTTGAGTTATCTCCACATAAAGAAGATTGTCCATAGAGATGTTAAAACAGAAAATATGCTTCTAGACAAGTCACGCACGTTGAAAATTGCTGATTTTGGTGTAGCTCGTATTGAAGCTTCGAATCCTCATGACATGACTGGTGAAACTGGAACGCTTGGTTACATGGCTCCTGAGGTAAGTGCATTCTTGTGCATTGATACTGTCCTGTGAGGTCGCATTTGCTTCGGTCCTAGATATTACAGAAAGTCGCGGTCAAATGCAGTTGATGTGGCCTAAATCACGGACGCACATAGATATATCTGTCTTATTTTTGAACCATTCTAAAGTGGTTTGGTTTTGCAAAAGTGTCAAATTGTTCCTGTTATGTTTGAATTGCTTCAGATCATAAACTTACCTGAAGAAATATTTGCAGGTTCTAAATGGTAGTGCATACAATAGAAAATGCGACGTGTATAGTTTCGGCATATGCTTATGGGAGATATACTGCTGTGACATGCCATATCCTGATCTGAGTTTCTCAGAAGTAACATCAGCTGTTGTAAGACAGGTAAGTGAAACGTATCAAGCGGGGCCTTATGTCTAAAATCGAGTGTTGATTAATCCAATATGCCTGCTTTTACTGCAGAATCTAAGGCCAGAGATTCCGCGATGTTGTCCAAGCTCACTGGCGAACGTGATGAAAAGATGTTGGGATGCTAATCCTGATAAGAGGCCAGAGATGGATGAAGTTGTCATCATGTTGGAAGCTATCGACACTTCAAAAGGCGGAGGTATGATCCCTCTTGATCAGCCACAAAGTTGTTTATGTTTCCGCAAGTATAGAGGACCTTAAAAGATTTTCCACTATCAATCAAACAAGCAATAGAGAAGGAAGAATCAAGATGGAATACACAAAAAAAAGTGAACGAAAGGCATAGTTAATGAAGAGCTCTACCATTACTTTGTTACTTTGTTAGGCTATAATTTTTGTAAAGCTAATTTGTACTCCTCATTTTCATTCCAACCATTTTTATAATATGTTTTTCTATGTAAGTTGTAACACTTGATAGTAGTAGCATGGATTGTTCCAACACTAATATCAAGTTCCTCATGGTTCCATTTGATGTGATCTGTTTTTTTTATGAGTATGAATCAAACTCGATGCTCTGAAGTTTACTACACTCGCACATATTGCGTACAAACCACTTGTGCTGTACCTGTTTTCGCTAGATTTGATCATAAATATGTGACCTATAATATAATTGGTTGGATCAGAAGTTCGATTTGCCAGGCTTGTTCTTGTTCCACTTATTCGCAAATTTTTGTTCCTTAGTAGATGACGCATCACTTGACTCGGGTTGTGATTAGGTGATCTCATCGATTTGAAAGTTGCGTAAAGATGTTATTAGTTAATTTATAACAATTGGTGAATCACATTAAGTTCTCCTTTTAGACAATAAGCAAACAAGTTCATGAATGTCAGAAACTGTATTTCCTCACAAAATGTCATAATTTCATTGATGAATTGATTGAATAAAAGCTACAAGCCGTTTTCAATTCAGTCTTAGAAAAAAAAACAGAATATATCTCAAGCTGTTTAACTCAATGCTAGATTATGGTAACAGAGTGACAATCTATCTTCTCCAATATAGCCTTGAAGATTGAACCAAATGTCGATCGACCACTTGCGCCGCCGTGTATTTAATAGTCGGAGAACATAAAGATCTTAACCAGCAATCTTGTAACTTGGATTCACCAAATTATCTAAACCAGAAACAACTTGAATAGATTCTATGACATCACCAACCTTAAGATCTGCTAAGAAATCTTCATTTTCTGTTACATAGCCAAAAACAGCATATCTACCATCCAATATATTGGCATTGCTTGGAGTTAACTCACTTTCTTTCAATAACCAAAACACTTGGCTAGAGCCAGAGTTGTCTTCAAATTCCTACTCAACAAACAAAAAAAGTAGTAAACGGACGGTTCGTTAGAAAAGTGATTAACATGCGTAAAGATTGGCCATTTCGAAGAATATACTCTTACCTCTCTTGCCATTGCCATTGTTCCAAACGCATTAAAGGGAAGCTTTGTTTGAGCCTTGTATAGACCAAGCTCCTGTCCAAACAAGAAACAAGGTTCGAAAACATAAAATAAAGCGAAACTTCATACAAGAAACTTATAGCAGTTCAGCACTTATTTCTTCTGATAAACAAGTTTGAGACAAGCATTCAATCAGTTGAGGATTACCTCTAGAGTTTCTCCATAAACAGGTGCCTTTTCTCCCTCTACCATAATTTCTAAAGGTACAATCCTTATTTTCTCGGTACTAGGATCAATAAAACCCTCGGCAGGACCTTCAGGGTCACCCGTTTGGACAACAAACCCGTCCGCTGCACAAAAAAGATCGAAACAAAGCGAAAGAACACTATCTTGGTGAAATGTATATAACTAGAGCGCCTACTTTTGAAATCCATATACAAAATTACATATTCCAATAATGGAAGAAAAATAACGTGTGCTAAATATCGGATTTATTACCTCTTTGAATCTCCATGCCGTCATAGAAGTGTCTTTCTACCAAGTCGACAAAATTGCCTGCAGTTACGGGGGCATTATAACCATCAAGAACTATGTGGAAAACACATTCTTCCACGTTTGGATTGTCTTTAATCTTGACCTTCATATCTACAGCTGCTCTCCCTTTCAATAAAGGCATGCTTCGGTATTCTTCAGGCACTTCGTATGGAAATCCGTCAACCATGTCTTCTTCAATACTGCAGAAATGCAATGCCCCAGGAACATCTCAGCTGCAGTCAATCAAAGGCTATATATGAGGATTGATGTTTTTGTCGGTTTGTTAAACCAGTGATCTAGAGGCCACAAACAAATCATGTCGTCAAAATGAATGTTTTTCAGTGGCCGATAGTTAGTCCAACATTATGATAACCAGAACAACTAAACTAAGCATCCATTGATTAGAACAATAGCATAGTTTGTAGACGTTTAGTCGAGGTTTTGTGATTTGGCCTAATAGGTCTACGTTAACACCTATAGTACAATTAATGACTATAGAGCAATTTATCGATTAGAACAAATGCTTATAGTACAAAACCCTTTTCCTATTTTTTTAATGAGAAAATCGAGGGAAGGATAGGGTCTTTATACGGTTTACGCAGGTGATTTAGTAATCAAGGGATACTCACCCTCCAACATATTGAAGAAGTTCTTTCTGTTTTGGTCCAACGGAGCCTCGATTCCTATCTTGTAGTATCAGTTCAAACTCATCGATACCAGCTTCCAGCTTATCAAGTAATCCAATTCCATGTTCTTTCTTTGATTCAGCTAAACCCGATACAATTAAAGTCTTCCCTTGCTTCAGAGCTCGAGATGCTTGCCTCAAATTCTGCATATCATGTAAAATAACTCAGTTCCTATCCTCATAAAAAGTCATTTTGAAAAAGTTCAATCTTACTCTTTCGACAGAGTCAAGTGCCTTGACACCAGCAATCTTGAGACTCTCCGTAATATCTTCGAGCGGTTTCTGCACTTCTCTAATCGCCTTATTGTCAATAGGAAGAGCATATCTCAACAATGCCCCGGGGTCCTTAATTGGCGGTCCAGATATCAATACAGACAGATCAGATAACGCAGAATTAGCTGCTTGCGCATCGTTAGGCCATCCCAATGTAGGAACTCCCGTTATTAACCCGACCGCTAGTGCTATAGATATCACATTTTGCTTGAAGCAAAACGACTTCCCTTTCTGCACAAAAATTTAACACAATAAGCTTTGCGACGACCCGAATCATACATAGCAGTAATCTCTAGTCTCAAAACAATGCTTTCAAATCTAGGTTGGAATAAACTAATTGAACATGAACATGAAGAAAAAAGATTAAAAATACAAACTTTCATCTTCCAAACATCAATTCTAAACCAAGATAAAGTCATTAAACTAAATTCTTTGCTAATGGGGTATCATATCTACACATCAATGTGCACAATCCTCACAATTTCAAAATCAAATTTGTTCTTAAGAAATGTTCATAATCACTTGCAAAATCTTCATTGATACCAAAGAAACAACATGTGATTAAAAAAGAATAAATTTTTAAGAAGCTTACATGTTTATCATCAAATTTAGAATGATGGGTTGGTGATGGTTGGTAAGAGCAACGAGTGGTGAAACTTCTTAGTCCAAGATTGGTGGGAGAGAATGAGTAATTGAGAGGCTTAGAGTGAGTATTGGAGTGAAACAAAATGGGGGTAGAGGCAAAGTTGGAACAGTAGTGCCGAGGGATGATGGATGATGCCATTGAAATCACGGAGAAAGACACAGACAATGGAAGTAGAAGTTAGAACATGGAATAGATAGATAGATAAGGTTTTGAGCAAAGTTTTGAGGTTTATGTTTTGTTTTGTAAAAATGTCTTCATCCATTCATCTTGATACTCTAGATAAGATAACATAACATTGGACCCACTTACTAATAATGGATATATAAATTTATTTTATTTTATTTTAAAAAATATTTGACCGGTTTGTATCTTTTATTTCTATATAATCTTGATTTTAATTAAATATTATATTTACAATTAAAAATAATTAAATTATTATTTTTCCGCTTTTTTCTCTCTAAGTAGTTATATTTAAATACAAACACTAAATTTAAATACATTTTCTCGAATAAATTTTCAATTTTATTGGCCATGTTGTAAAAGATGAGTTAACTTCTTCGATTAGATTCAACCCTAATTGATATTATTATATCTAACTGAAATTTTTTATTATTTTTAAATAATCATTATTTTTTTTTAAAATACTTAAATAGCCATAATTTCATTAAAAAAAATTAAAATAATCATTTTTTAAATAAAAAAATGTCATCACACAAAGGAGACGTTGTGTGACGCATGCATTATAATTAAAGAAGAGGTGTCACATTGTATGGCGTATGCACTTTTGTCATGTCATGTAGTGTTCGCGTGCACGGTAATTTTAAGTGCATGCGTCATGCAATGTGACTACTCAATTGTTTTGTTTTTTTATTTTTAACTTATTTTAACAAAAAAAAAATATAAATAAAAATATATTATAATAATATTACTAGAAAAAAGAAATTACACAACGATTGAATATGTTTTTACCGACCCCTCCATCCAAACACATATCGATAAAATAATAAGGCCACAGTATTTGCCTTGGAGGTCTCTGTTGATTTTCCTGAGGTGTTTAGGGTCTACTCTGAATCGTTTGAGGCAGAGGTGCTTGATGCGATGGCCCCGGGACAACAATCAGATCATACAACTCCTAGACCATTTCTCCCTAGTTTACGGTGATTTCAAAGAGTTTGGTGTCCATGTTGTCGAAGTTAGGTCATGTTGGTTGGATTACGTGTGAGTAGGGTGGTTGGTAGAATTGGGATGTTGAATCGTTTTGGAAACAAAGAAATGGTTCTTGTGTACATGTGATAGTTGGGTGCTTCTATAGTGTGATATTTGGTTGTACATTAGTTGGATGCTATGGTAGAATAGGGTGGTATCATATGTGTCATCGTTGTTATGGTAAGACATGGTGGCAGCATATTATTGGTAGCGGCCTGGGTCATGCTCTTGGTTTTGTGTTTGGGTGTGTGGCATGAATTGTTGGCGGGTTTGAGTGAATGTGGTCGTGTAAGGTTGTTGGCTTTGGGTGGTGTGACACAGTGGGAGAACTGACTTGGGATTTTGCGTTTGTTTTCGCACTTGTTCGGTTTAGCAAGAGTCGTCACCGACTTTTTATTTTATCCAAAGGAAAGGTCAAAAAGCACAGGAAAGACCTTTGAGATGTTTTCTTGGGTTGGGGGTAGATTATGAAAAGGGAAGGTGCTAGCATCCTTTTCATCCATGGTTATCCATGGGCTCTTAGTTACTTGTTTTAGATCACTTGCCTTTGCTTTTCAATTGTTTGAAATGGTGCTTTGTGTGTGTGGTTTTTTGAAAATGTTTTGAAAAAGATGCTTTGTCTAGGCAAATTTTGTAATGATTCTTGTTTGAATATATACAAAGGTGTGTGTCTTTTTGAAAAGATAATTCAATGTTTTGAAAGTTGTTTTTGAAACTGTTTTGAAGTTGTGTTGTGAAGTGTGTTTGAAAAATGGCAAGGATGTTTTGCAAGATTTTTGATCAAGTAACTAAGAGTTGTCTACCCTATTTTACTCAAAGATCTTTCTTATGTTTTTAACCCTTTTTAACAGTGTTGTTTCACCATTGTGTTTGATGAACAACCTTGCGTTAGGATGTTTTGCGGGACAGGCGCGGGTCATCGTATACAACCATTGAAAGCAACTTGTGAGACGCTCTAGCAATTTTGTAAGGGACAAGATCGTTTTATCGAAGGCAACATCGAGGGTCATCGAGGGACTACGATCTTTGTTTATTGCAAGGGCATTTGCTAGAGTGTCTCATACTCGAGGGACATGATTGTATTTTCCGAGGCAACAAGCGAGGTTACCCTAGAGGTGCAAGTGTGAATTGTGTATTGATTTTCATGCATTTATCTTGTATTAGATCATCTAGCGATTGATTTTGAATCTTCGCATACAAACCCTAATTACTATACAGTATATTGAAAGCGATAAATTGCGGGAATTTAAAGTCTAAGTTATTACAAATAAGTATCCGGGGATGGGGGTACAAATGTTTACAAATGGGGATGAGTCTTATCAGAATAATAATGTCCAAGTATATATTACAACCAAATTGAACTGTCGCATTCTCAATGTAAAATTATAACAAGGTATAAGATAATGAAAATCAAAGAGATATGGGATGCGTGTATTTATTTACAAATGATCAAATAAAAATTTTAACTTAAAAAGATTAAGTATTTATTATTATTTATTGTGTTTTTTGTTAATTATATAAACAAAGAGTTTTAAAGAAAAGAAAAATTATTTTAAGTTAAAATTTTATTATTTACATATTTTTGCGTTATTAAATGTAATAAATAAAAAACTATTAAGAAAATTTTATACAAAAATTTAATATGTTCTTCTTATTTAAAAGAGAAAAAAAAAAGAATTAGATTATAGAAAATAAAAAACAAAGTGATAAAAAAGTAATGGTTTTAAAACATTAAAAGAAAAAGATAAATGGGCTTAAGGAATGTTTTGGATGGTCCAAATAAAAAGGATAAAGAAACAAGAAAGTAATGAAGAGGGAAGGGAGGTGCGCGTTAGTAAGAATGTTGGGCCTTATGGGTTCTGTTTGGGCGAAGGCCCATGTGGGTGCTGGAACGAGTTTTGTTAGGGTTGGAGTTTTGTACATTCAGAACCTAGGGTTTACAGTTTAACGACGCCGCTCCTTTCTTCTTCATCTCTCATCTTCTCTCTAATCCATGGGGCTTCTGATCCTTCCTCCAAGCTCCAAGTTGCCATAGCGCTGCTTTCGTCCATTTCTCTCCACGACGGCGCAAATCGATGGTTCGAAAGGGTATTGTTTCTTCTTGTTCTAAACGCGTTTTCTTTTACAGTTTAGGTTTGTGATTCTTGTATGTTTTATTGTTTTGCAATGTTTAATCTTTGATGTTTCATGCATGAGATGTAGGAAAATTGAGGAAAGAAAATACCTTGGCGTTTTGTTCTCTGGAAAGGATGGTGGATTGGAACGACGACGCTCTAGGTGGCCGGAGGAGGAGGACGAGGATGACAGTGTTGCTAGCTCACCTCTGGTATTTCTGTATCTTTATGGTGTTTGATGATGACTTCGTTTCTGAAAACCCTATATCGTTTTGCTTCTAGATTTTTCCTCTTTCTTCTGGGTTCAACGATGAGGATATTCTGAGATTTGCTTGTCTTTGTTGGTTTGGTTGTTTTAATTTGAGTTGATGTTGATTACTGATTGTTGGATGATGAAGCTTATATTCTGAAACTTCTTGTTTGAACTTTCACTTCTGGACCTCTTCCTCTTCTTAGGATATTGACTTTTGATGATGAGTATATGTGTTCTGAAAAAGCTATTTGTTGTTTTGCTTGTTCTGCAATCTCTTCCTTTCTCTTGTTGAAGATGAGATTATTAGTTGGCTTGTTTGGATTTTGGTGAAGGTTTAGCAGTTTTGCTCACAGGTTTGTTGGCCTGAGTGTTTTGGGAACCTATAACACAGGTTTTGGTGAACTTGGCTTGCAGTTTAGGCCAATTTGTTTTGAGTTTTTGCAGGTTAAGTTGGAGGTAGTTTGCAATTGGTTTTGCAGACTTGTAGTGCTGGTCTGCAAGTTTTGGGCTTGCTTGTGTTTAGGCAAGCTTTGCAGTTTGGATATGCTTACAGGCAGTTTTTTGGCATTTGTAAGGCAGGTTGGTGAGTATTTGAGTTTTGTTTGTGTTTACAAGCTTGCAGTTTTGTAAACCTGTAATGCAGGTTTAATTTGGAAGATGGCTTTGGCTTGTGTGATTTGTTGTGCTTATTTGATAGTTTGAGTTTTGCAGGTTGAGTAGGTTTTAGTTCTGAGTAAACTTTGAACTTGTTTGGATTTTTTATAGCAGTTTTTTTGCAGGTGGTTGAGTTTTGAGGCAGTTTTACAGGTTTGATAACTTGCAGTTCTTGTGACTGCAGTTTGATGAGTTTAGGCAAGTTTGAATTGAGTTGCCGTTTGTGGCTCTATCTCCCTCCTGGACTGTTTACAGTCTTGTTCTCTTTATTTGCTTTCTCACTGCCTTTTACAGCCTGCCAAAACTGCAAAACCTTTTTCTGGTTCTCTCTTTCTCTCTCCCTGAAAGCATTTTAAATTGCTTATTATATTTTTTCTGAAAAGCTTTGTTGGCTAGAATATGATGATAAGTTTGACAAGCCTGCTTGCTTGTAACTTGGTTCTTCTCCTGCATTGTTGTACTTGTTTCCATATTTCCTACATTGTACTTTCTTGGACAACTTTGTGTACTTTGACAGCTTTGTGTACTTTGACAGCTTTGCAACTTGGTTTGACATTTTTGCAACTTAGTTTGCTTTTGGTTGACTAATGCCGTTTGTTGTTCAGTTTGCTTTGCCTTGCTGCCTTATATCTTTGCATTTTGAATTAATTGTATGCTTGCAAATTGTTTTTACTTTCCTCTTTGTGAACCAAGAAGAGAAATCTTCTTGTGATTTGCAAAGAGAACAAGTAAAACATGATGAACCCAATAACAATCTGATTCCGGCCAACAAGCTTTAATGATGACCTTTTTTATTTATCTGCTTGAAAATGCTTTTTAGTTAATTGCACTGATTTCCCTTTTCTTCTGTCCTTTGCAGGTAAGTACCAGTTGAATAATGGAGGAGGACGCAGTAAAGATCAAAGATTTCA